GCGGCCCCGCGGCCGCCTCCCCCGGCGGCGGCAACAACGGCGGCGCCGGGCCGGCCGCCATTTCCCGCCTCGGACGCAGGGAAAATGCCGGCCCGGAAGCGGAACCCGCGGCCTCGCGGCCTCTTCCCCTCAGCCCCGGCGGCGCCATGGCGGCGGCGGTGGGGCCGGTGGACTGTCACTGCCACCTCGCCGCGCCCTGCTTCCGGACGGTGAGGCGCGGAGGGGCGGGTGGGGGGGAGCGGCGGCGCGGCCCCGGCGCTGAGGCGGCGTGTGTCTCTTGCAGGACGTGGCGGCCGTGGTGCGGGCGGCGGAGCAGGTGAGGCGGCCGGCAGCGACCCTCTCCCCGCTCCTCCCCGGCCCCGCCGCCCGGCCCGGCCTCAGCGGGGCGGGGGTTTCTCTCTGCCGCAGGCCCCGGTGTCGGCGCTGGTGGTGGTGTCGGAGCAGGCGGGGGAGTTCCGGAGCGTCGTGGCGCTGTCGGAGAGGTGCGAGGCCGCCGGGGGGGCCCGGCGCCCGCCCGTGTCCCGGCCGCGGGGTCCGCGCCTTGGCGGGGGCGGCTCGCGGCGTGGGAGCTGACGGGGGACGCCCTGCCCTCTTCCTTGGTCGGGCCGGCCATTCTTTTTGACTTTAAACTTGCTTTTTCTGTGGTCTCCCGCGCTACTAATGCCTATTCCTTGCCCAGATTCCCAGGGTTTGTTTTGCCGTGCCTGGGAGTTCACCCGGTTCAAGAGGTTTCACCAGAGGAGCAGCGCAGTGTTACTTTGAAGGTAATACAGGGGCGAGTTCGATTAGCGCAGCTATAAAATACTGCTGGGACTGCTCAGGGCAGATGACGGGATGCTCTGGTCTGCCTGATTTAATTTCAGATCTGCCCACTGATTTTTCTGTGCTTCTGTAATACAGAAGACCCAGCGGACCAAATCCCAGGGTCTCTTAGCACATCCATTTGTCCGTGTCAGTCCTAAAGCAGAATTGTTCACTGGAGTCGTTTGGCCGTATTACTGCAGTGAAACACTTCTAAAAATCCCAAGCGGATGCTTTGCTTACAGTGAACAGTATGCGTGTGTGTTTGCAGATGTCCCTTTGTTAGCATGGGAAGTGGAAGGCAACTGTTTGTGCCCTTAGCCTGAAAAACTTGGAGAGCTGTCTGCACCCATTTAATGTTATTAGCCTTTTTATGGGCCTTGTTTTAATTACTTCTTATGCTCCTGTGGAAAGATAACTTGAAATGAAGTGTCATTAAGTAAAGAAGGGAAACCCTGCAGGTTTCTAAAAACTGTCTGACGGCACAACTCACAGTAACAGAAAGTTTTAAGGTATAGAATTTAAGAACAATGAAGGAAACCCCAATTTAATCATAATGCTGAGTTCATACCCCTTCCATCTTGTAAGGGCAGTGAGGGTTGCATCTTTAATTTGTTCTTGCAGGATCTGGATGCTGCATTGCCACTTATAGAACTCTACAAAGATAAATTGGTGGGGATTGGCGAAGTAAGTAGAATTCTGTAACTTGTTTACATGTCTATGGCTTTGGCAGCATCTGTCACCACAATTACAAAAACTTAGTGAATACTTGGTTTTGTGTATGCAATAAGTATTGCTATCAGTCTGAACAAGTGCTAAGTCTGATTTGTGATTCTCTTAATATGCTTTCCTTCATAGATTTGCCTGATTCCTTCTTTTCCTTCATTATCATTGTTAGGTGATAGATGGCATCTATGCCGGTGGTTTTAGTAGGAAGATTGCATAATTATGCTATGTTGTCTTATACCCAAATGTCTTTTGACCTATTCTGTGGCACAGTTAAGTGTTGAGTCATGTTGTTATCCTCATTCAGATCCTTCCTGCTTTCTTCCCTGACAAAGTTAGGCTAAGCTATGATTTCAGTACGCCTCACTGACTTGTACAGTCCTTTTTTCTTGTGATCCCTCATCTGTCTGTATCCATGTGTTGTTTCCTGTCTTACATTTCTTCATAAACTATGGACGCTTGAAAGCTTTAGGGTAGAGTCTGGGTGTTTTGTGTGTAGGTACCAGAGCGACTTATGGCTGGTTCTGCGCTGGCTGCAGAAAAAGCAGTGATTGGCAGAGCTTTGTAGCTAAACTTGCCATGTTGGACTTGTGCTGTATATCAAAGACTTTGGTTAGTGTAACTGTGAAAGGGGCTGCTTCGACAAACATTAAATTTTGCCTGAACATGTTTAAATCAAAAAAGTATAGAATTAATGGGTAATTTTTGCTAGAGATAGGACTAAAGCTACAGGTTCAGGTCAGAAATTTTACTTGTATTGGAGATCCAGATTTGAGATTTAGTCTGAACTAATATTCAATAGAATATAAAACCCCAGTTACAGATGAAAATGTTAAATACAATTGTTAGTAACTATCTGCCCACAAATGCTTTCATAGTTGAAAAGCTTATGGTTCAGAATGGATTCCTTTCTGAGTTAAGCTACAGTTGAGCTCATTTTAATTGCAGTCTCTAGTGTATATATTTTGAAATGCCTTGCAGTTATGAAGCATTTTTTTGCCTTTATGTATAGTACTGTGGTTTAGTCAAGCGTTAGGTCTGTAAAATTTTTTCACTTCTCTTCTTGCACTGTAGGTTGGACTAGATTTCACTCCCAGATTTGCCAGCACGGATGAACAGAAGGAAGGACAAAGACAGGTTTTGATCAAGCAGATTGAGTTAGCGAGAAGACTGGATTTGCCTTTGTAGGTTTTGTTTATACTAGTAGGAGAATTTGCCAGATCTCAGTAACATGTGGAAATATTTCCCAGGATTTATAGTTACTAAGACCCCACAGAACTTTTCTTAGATGGATTAAACTGGCATTAGTATCCTGTCGGTCTCCGGTTTGAGATTTAATTACAGACTTTTCTGTATGTTTGCATTTCAATACGGTGGTCTTCTGTGTCCTCTCCTTGCTATGTTGTTCCTATATCTTTACTGTAGGTAAAATGATTCATATATATGTTTCTAGCTTTTTCTCTTGATAAAAGGTGTAATACAGATCAATTATTTTCATCCCAAGCTGCTGTTTAGTTCATTTGTGTTTACAGAAAAAAAAAGTATTTTGCTGATTTTCTTAATGCTGGGCCTCTCCTTTCTGTGCAGAAATGTTCATTCCCGCTCAGCTGGAAGACCAACCATTAATCTCTTAAAGGAACAAGGTATGTTTTTAATGCATTTTCTGTCATGTCTTTTTTCAGCAGAATTCCTTCAGTTGTGCCATGTCCTCACTTCAGTTTGTGTACATGAAACTTGGAAGGAATAGTGCAGAGATTCTGTATTCATTCTTTATGGGACCAAGGTGCCATTGGAAGCTGACATCACAGACCTACTGTAAACACTGCTAATGATTTGGTTTGCTTCTTTTCTCTGAGGTGCTACAAAGGTGTTGCTCCATGCGTTTGATGGGAAGCCATCTGTAGCGATGGAAGGGGTGAAAGCTGGATATTTCTTCTCCATTCCTCCTTCCATTATAAGGAGTGAACAGGTAATGTTTAAAGGGATTTGCTTCTTCTTGGTGCTTTGGGATTGCAGGTAATAGCTGACAGCTTATCATGATGGCAAACATGACTGTTTTCACTGTGCAGCTCAAGAATATGCTTGTTTTTTAAGTCTGTACACTTTGAAGTGGGACGAGCAGTACTCGTCAGATGACAGCAGCCATACACACTACACAATAGAAGTTTCAGTTGCTTATAGCATTGCATGTTTTTACTTTGGCTAAATTTCTACCTGGGGCTTTTGCCTTAGCTAGACTTTTGGGGGGAAATTTTGGCTAAAACAGTTCAGCTATTCCTGAGAAACAAAGGTTAAGAAAATAGGCGGTTTTTTCGCATTTTAATGTGGTTTCTGGTGAACTCTTCTTTGGAAGCTTCTATCACTGTACTGTTTTAGAGTAGGGACATGACATGTAGAAAAGGACTAGTTACTATCTCAGTGCTATGGCACTTTCTGTTGAAAAGCAAATCTGCTCAATTTGGCTAAGTCACAGACCTTTGAAAGATTCAGATTATCACAAGGTGTACCCAGCAAAGAAGCAGCTAAATTCCTTAAAGACAGCATTGACGAGGTTCAGCCCCTCATTTGGTGAGGCTGCTCTTTTAATTTCTACTCTGGGCTGCTGCAAGCTATGCTGAGTTCTTATTTTGGGGTAGCAGTTTGTTTCCATCCTGCACCATCATCACTTTCTGTGATAAGCTCAGGAAATGTAAGAAGGGAAAAGGCATGATTCAAGTGGAGGGGGTGTGAGGGATGGATATAGATGGGAATGAGGTTAGCAACTTGGAGAAAGGAAAGCAAACTGGGGTTGAGTGGTAAAAGCAGAGATGGGGAAAAAGGTGCACAAATATATATACACACAAATACATACAGAAAAATAGCAAATTAAAATTGCATTGGCAACTCTGAATACAGGGTATTTTGTGTAATATAACTACATGATTTAATAAATAACAATGGATTCAGTGTTTAGGTAATAGTACTTCAGATACTTAAAAACCAGGATAATCCTAATTTGAAGGGACTTCTTGGGCAGCTCCTGGTATTCTTGCTTCCATTCTGAAATGTTGATAAAATGCAGACAGTGGCACCAAAGTCTTCTGACATTGCTTTTAAATGCAGAGGATATCCTCCCTTCATATGTTTTTTTCCCACAGGTCTAAGTGCATAAAGTGTTTAACAGCTGTCTTATTTTCTTCAAGAAGCAGAAGCTTGTGAAGCTGTTACCTCTGGAAAGTATGTGCTTGGAAACTGACTCTCCAGCTCTGGGGCCTGAAAAACAGGTAAATGATGGGGAGGAGGAACTTCTATGTGCATATATCCAAACCCACACCTTATGGAGGTCAGTTACTGGCACAGGAGAGTGAAGTAGTATAAGCATAGGTACAAGGGATGAAAGAGGTTGCCAAGTGAAAATTTTGAGATGAACAAGGCAGTGTTCCTGAGGCTGGGAAAGGAGAAGAAACTCCAGGAATGGGCAAAGGAGAAAATAATCCCATAAGAATAGATACATGTAATTTCTCTGGCACACAGGCCACAATGTGACTGAAATTGCATCAGGAAGTACCGAATCTGAAACACATGTGGTCTGTAGGGATCTGTAATTTGGTCTGGTTTTTTTGTTTGTTTGTTTGTTTTCAGGTGAGAAATGAACCAAAAAATATTTACGTTGCTGCAGAATATATTGCCAAAATTAAAGGAATTCCAGTTGAAGAAGTTATAGAAGTGACTACACAGAATGCACTGAAAGTATTCCCCAAGCTTCGGAACTTCCTTCAGATATAGATTCAGAAACTGAAATATGATATTGCAGAAACTATTATTTATGATGTAATTAAAACCAATGTGCATCTTGTCTTAAGTGGAGTTTTGCTGTTGGAAAGTTCAAGAAGTGAGCAGAGTGTTATATAGATGCATAGGATGAATATAGGGAATTTCTCAAAGGCCTTTGGTATGCACCATTGTCATCTCTTGGATGTGATAAAGACAGGTTGTTTATTTGCATCTTTCATGTCTATGAACAAATACTCTGTAAAGAAGAGCACCATAAAACTGTCAGTTTAGTTTCTCAGACTCCTTGCTTAGTTGCTCTTAGTCTGAGAGATGGCTAATGTGCAGCGCTTAATGTCTCCCTCATTAATTTCTGCTGACTGAAAGTCACACAGTTGTGGGCCCACTCGTGATAGAAAAGCTCCTGTTAGGACTTGCAGACTGCACATCCCTTTCTGAGCCATTAAAAAAACACAGCTGGATGGACATTCTGTGTATGTCATGTTGACTGGGCTCTGAGTGGTGCAGAAGCAACCTCTGATTTCCTTCAAAATACAGTTGGAAGGAAAGAATTGTAGCCCTTCTGTTCCTTCTCTCCTTTTCCCTTGTATACAGTAACTTAACAGTTGTTCAGATCCTGGCTATTTTGAGAAGAATTTTCTTGGTTTTTTATATTTTATTTTATTTTTTGAATCATATTCGAAGGAAAAAGCCTTGGTTTGGTCTTATTACAAGACTTACTCTTCTGACTGCTCGGTATTGGGGGATAACGGTATGTGAAAGGGAGACAAGCCCAGTGTTGTGAGATCTTGGAGGTACCTGGCTGCTGTGGATTCTGCTATGTTGGCCAGTGTCCTAAAAACTGAGTCTTGTGCTCCCTCGCAGCACCTGTGTGGATCTGGGCCTGATGAAAATACTGATCAAAATTTTGCTGACTGTAAACCAGCAATGAACGAGGTGAGTTATATATGACGCTCAATTGTTCTGAGGGCCGCTAGGGAAGTGGAGGCTTTGTCTCCCTAGGGGGAGTTTTACTAGCTCAGTGAAGAAAATACACAAGTATTAACTTAGTCCATGACCACCTCGGGTACAAAATCATGCATTGTACCAGCTGATGGTGAGAGCATTTGGCGTTAAGATTTGGGCGTATGTCTTCTATGTCTCAGGTGCCTATGTAATTTTTCAGATTAGACTCCTTCCTGTCTTCCTGGTTAGAGCATCTTATCAGTTGCCCCTTTGTAAAATGGTTTGTAATGCCCTGTTCTGAAATGATCTGATGTCTGCCTTCTGGGGTGTAGGACTGCAAGACAAGGATTTGGGTTTTTTTTTTTTCCTGTTTTGAGGAGGATGCAAGTGGAGAAGGTATCAGCTCCCAGACAGGAAGAAAAAAAAACAGAGAGCAAAAGCTTGTAATGTAAGTGATACCCATCTTAAACTTTTGGTTTCTTCTACGTTTTCTTCCTCGATTTCTTAAAATCACATTGTCAGGAGGTTTTGTGCTGTCTATAGCTGAACAGCTGCATTGTTCTGCTTTTTGCCTAGAGTAGCTTATTAAGTTTAAACATATGTTCCTAAACAGTTTTTGGCCTGCAGCAAACAACCAAACTTGAATAATTTGCCTCTATTACAATGTGTATTCAGAGCAGCAAATACCTGAGTCTTTGCTGAATGTTTGACCCAGAGTCGTTAGAGCCATTTGTTATCCTGGATCTAGCAGCACCATTTCCACTAAATTGGGTGAAGGACAGAGTTTGCCTCCAGATGGTGCTAGGGAACAGGTGTGCAATAGTCTTAAGACTATTAATGTGTTGTCATCGGAGATGCTAAACGGGTGATACCAGGCAGCCTTACACGGGCTTCCTGCTGCCTGTGTGACAGAAAGGCTCCCAGTATTGCATAGGAATGCAATTATGTATGGAGATGCTCCCAGTAAAAAGTCAGGCAGTGTCCGAATGTTTGCAGAGTTTTGGCCTTATTGTTAATTTCTACAAAATTCTTCGCCTTGGATGAAAACACTGGTTTTGCAAAAAAGGGAATATCAAGTATTTAGTCTGCTCAAAATCCCTCTCTCTGCAAGGGCGTAACATTGCTCTGGTTCAGGTTTAGCCTTGCAGTCAGATGCTGCCTGGCCTGAGCTCTTGAACCACTTTTGCTGCTGCAGCGCTGCAAAAACCTGTAGACATGCTCATGTCCTGCAGCTCCCAGCTGGGCAGGGCACTGCCGAGGGCGGCCAGCCTCGTGTGGGCCAAGGGGGGCTCTGTGGGACAGCCTGAGCCCCCTGTCCCTGCAGCAGCAGGGCCCAGAGGTCCTTGTGGGAGTGTGGCTGGGTCTGGGGAAGGAGGCATGGGGTTGCTTCCCCCGGGCCGAGAGAAACCTGGCGTTGCAGCGGCCGTGGGTAGAGTGAGCATGGCAGGGTGCCCACGGCAAAACAGGCGAAACTTTGTCCTCTCCTTAGACCTATGGTGCCTGAGCCAAGTTGTAGGTGGCCTGGCGCTCCAGAAAAGGAAAGTGCAGTGTCATTCCCACCCCACCTTGGCCTCCCTAACACTGAACAAGGGTCAGAAGTAGCCCCCTTTCCACGGTGCCATTGGTTTTGCTGTGCAAGCTGTGCCCCAGCCCCCTGCAGTCAGCACCAGGGGCACGGTGGGCACTAGAAATAAAGTTGTTGGTTTGCACAGGAAACCCAACTTCCTAAGGCGTTCAGTTGGGACTGGTGGTAGCTAATGTGCGGGAGGGAGGAAGTATGGTTTCTGAGCTGGAAAACATTGTTGAACCCTCAGCAGTCATCCTGTGTCTTTACCTTGAAAGGGGAATTTAACAGAGAGCTTGCGTTTCTGCCTGCAGTCCCAGGGTAATGCCTGGTCCAGAGGGGCTCAGGAAGGCAGGATGGCTCATGAGGGAGCTGTGTGGCTGCACACCGTGAAACCCTCCATCCCCACAAAGGCTGGCCTTAGCAATCGGTGTGTGTGCTGAGCCCTGTTGCAGCCTCTGAGGTTGTCTGGACAAGCCCTGTCCCCTCCTACATAGCATAGGACATGAGTGGCCACAGATGTACTGGGGGAAGGACCTAGTGTAAGTTTAGCTGGATGCCATGTTTAGCTTTTGGGAAACCTGAGGGGAAATGAGAGAAAGCACAGAGTTGGTGGAGACCCAAGTTTTCTTTTCAGTCATATCATTAATTTGGGGGGACACTAACAGCCCTGGTGACCTCTGTCTCACAGAGATGGAATGGCACAGACGGTCTGCAGCAGTATGGAAAGTGATAGGTCCCAAGCTCGATCTGATACCATTAGCCATCACCTTTCCCTGGGATGCTACAAACAGCAGATCTGATTGCACTTTGTATGACTCCTCATGTCTCTTTATCTTGCAGGATGTACATGATATGATAGAAAAATCAAGGAGGGTTTGTGATTTCTTCGGCAAAATTAGTGCCTTCAGAGTGCCTCACTCGTTAGTTAGTACTCTGTTGTTGGTGCAGCTCTGGCTGGTACAGCTTCTGCCAGAAAAAAAGCCCCACGTTGCTCGGTTCTTTCCAGGCTTAAAATAATGCGGGCAGATGCACCACATGCACTAGGGACTCCCACACGTGCAAGGGCTTACAGTGAGTGCATAGCTTAACACCAGGCATAAATAATGAGGGGGATGTAGTGGCAGTAATAATGTGGAGGTACTTTCCACAGGCTGAGATGCAGAGCTTGTAGATCTAGAAAGCTTCTAAAGTGGATTTGTCTGTTGAGAGACAAAATAGTGGACCAGTGTATGCCGTCAATGGCTACCAAATCACACAGAGGTACTTTGCACCTTCCTTGTTCAATGAGCACCTTGAATTAGTAGCAGGGGCTGGGACGGTGCTGAAATTGCAACTCCTTGGCTGGCTGGTGTCATCGCCCTTTCACCCCCCGTGCCAAGCAGAGTGGAGTGGATGTAGTAGAACTAAAAAGTTCAGTGTAAGTTACTTGAACTCCTCAGATCCTGGAAATCCCCTCTGAGTTCATGACTGACAGCTAAGAGTCTGTCTAAGGGCTCTGTCTGTGCTTACTCAAATAGTTTTTGGAGGGCTGCAGGTGGATCATCCTCCTGGGGCCTTTCTTCTGAAACTTGTTTTTAGTCATGGACTAACAGTGTCTGAATCTGCTGAACTCTGGGACAAACTGCAAAGGTGATGAGTTTTTCCAGATTTCGACATGGGAACAAGCGAGGAGATGGTGACGAGGCCAAGTGGATGATATGCCATTTAATCCTGCTGTTTGTTGTGGTAAGAGTTTAAACAAATGGACCAAAGACTTTTACTGGCGGTGCTTCCAACAGGCTCCTATGCAATGCATAGATAGGCTCTTTAGAGTCGAAAGCAAATAAATAATTGGTTGGAAATGCAACTTTCATCACTAATGAAATTTTGCTTTTGTTTGTTTTTTCATGAATGCAGGCTGGGGTTCAATCCTCTGTTCCCACTGTAGAGCAGGAAAATTAATTTGAGAGACACTGGCCTAGCAGAAAGGTTTGTTGTTCTTCTCTTTGCTTTCTATATGCAGTACAAAGGTACAGCCGAGATCAAAGAAAGGATACAAATTGCCATAGCACTTAGTTGTCTCAGCATTTTCCTCTTCAGCAGGTGGTTATCCATCCATTCATTTCCCCTGCTGGGGTTGGCTTTGCTATCAGTGTCAATCAGTTGGGGCACCAGAATGGTAACCCTCACTGCACTGTGTGGTGGCCCTACCATGCAGTGAGTGCAAAGTACCCCCTCCAGGGCCTGGCAAAATTTTAGGCCCCTCTTTTTGAGCTGCTGTGAATGACAGAACAGCAAGAAAACATAGTGAGGATCGTGGCCCTGACGAACCCATGCCTGGGGCAGGAACTGACACCCATCTCCCCAAATGCTTGGTGCTGTGCACAGAGAGATGCTGCCAACAGGGTGCTTAATACAAACGCAGGAGATCAGTGCCACTACTGTGCCTGGGACTGCTGATGAAAATGGTGGTGTGATTCACTTGAAAAAGCAGAAACAATGAGGCACTGGGACAAAGAGTCTGTAGAAGCAAGGTGTAGATCCTCTACCCTAGAAACAGCATAATGAGCAGTGTCAGCGTTTGGCTTGGCTGCCACAGAGCTGCTGGTGTGTGGAGCGCTTGTCAGGTAGCGAGTGCGTGGGTGGCATCAAGGAACTGAAGGCAAAGCTGAAAAAAAGTGTAGAGAAGTGGCACATACACAGAATAGGAAGATCTGACCTG